TATATTCTCCACTTACCAACTAGTGGAAGTGGTTTGTAAGGATGACCACGGCTTGTACAAAAAATCGTACTCCTACAAAAGTGTATGGTTGGTATAATTGTCATGATAACTGGCTTACCCTCCAAGGGCCATTCTCATCATTAGAGCCTTCAATGATCAACTCAGGCCTACCACCAACACCTGTCATACTGGGAAAGAGAAAGGGGAGAGGGGAAGAGAGAGAGAGGGGAGAGAGAGAGAGGGGAGAGAGAGAGAGAGAGAGAGAGAGAGAGAGAGAGAGAGAGAGAGAGAGAGAGAGAGAGAGAGAGAGAGAGAGAGAGAGAGAGAGAGAGAGAGAGAGAGAGAGAGAGAGAGAGGGAGAGAGAGAGGGAGAGAGAGAGAGAGGGGAGAGAGAGAGAGGAAGGGAGAGAGAGAGAGAGAGGGAGAGAGAGAGAGAGAGAGAGAGAGAGAGAGAAGGAAGAGGAAACAAGATGAAAAGAAATGAATCAAATCAGACAAAACATAACGACAGTAAAATATAATTAGCACAATAATATTATGTATCAATGATATCAAATACACATCTTAACTATACAAGCAGGTAAAAGTGTCACGTAGTAGGTACTACAACATCTCTTCTTCTCATGTACTACAAGACATTGAGAGTAGTAATGTCTCATCTCACCTTCTAAACAAACCATAAGAACTAGTGAAGTGGAGCGGCTGGAGGGCAGTGTGTACGGATTTGATTTCTGACGGTATGAGAGAATGAAATGATCCATCATCAAGATAACTCAGTGGAATCTGATGAGAAGAAAGGAGAGAGAGAGGGGGGGAGAGATAAAGGCAGTGGGAGGAAACAATAACCTTTTCAGCATACAATGCTCATTGTACAAACACACACACACATACACACACAATAGTCAAGGCACACAAGTTTACTAATGGTCGAATAAGGTTTCACATTCTCTGCCAATACCATAACACACAAGTACATACTCACAACATATGTACATGTACATGTACACATTTTCTCACTCATTGATCATCAGTAAACCAATCTCATACAATTATTGGAAAGACACTTACTAATGTGATCATAAACATGACAATGATTGAGGCTAACATCATAACAGTTTGTGCCACAGACCACAGCTTGTTGAACAGCCCGTGTTTGGAGAGCGAACTGAAAGAATACATGAATGGATTAATATAACAAACAACAAAACCTCAAATAATTGCAACACCCTCTCTATCAATGAGCCAGTGTACACAATGAAGAAGATAAGGGCTATCAAGTGAACGTAATGCATCAAAAACATTCAAGATTGTCAAAGGCAGAGAGTGTAATTAGGCAGTTGGAATTATTGGGAAAAATACGATAATTACATGTACACACACACATGTAATTTGTCACTGACGAATGACGCAATTGAAACTAGTGAGTTTATCAGAAACTTTGACTTAATGAAAGTCCAAAAATTATCCTTCCTTGTCAACAGTTGGTTACGAATTATATGTACATGTATGAGTTAATACCCTGAGCTAATTCCGATAACAAATTCTGAATTCTATAGGGACTTTTCCCCATAATACTACAATCCAATCAAAAAATCTCAACCTCCAAATAATAAAGCTTGACATTACAAACGCATCAACAGTTACAGTACATGTAAAACAGCATGTATAGTATGTGTATATGTAACACACACTCACTCTAATAGACAATGCCATAGTTCTAGGAACAAAGAGGCACAACCGATTAATACTGACAAGGGAAGGAAGAGCCTTACAAAATCATTGAACTCATCCATAGAGAAACCTACACAAAATACAATAAGACTCATAATGACCTCACAATTCTATTAAAAATATATTTATAATATAATTAATACAAGTCATAAAATAATGTACAAAAATGAACATGTACTATACAACATCCAGTCAATATACATTGTACATTCACATGTGCAATGTACAGCAAAAATTGAATCTCTTGGGCCAAATTTTGTCAAAATTGAAAAGTAGAGATTTCTCCATTTTTATAAGTTTTCCTAACACACATACATGTTCTTATGTTGTGTAGAAAGTTTGAGTTGATTCCGATCAAAATTGGATTTTTTATGAATTTTTAAAGTTACTCTAAAATCCGGCCAAAGTCCCTGTACTATAGTACAGGGTCATCAGCCAAATTTTGCCAAAAATGACTAGGAGAGAATTCTTCATTTTTATAAGTTTTCCTAACACACATACATGTTCTTATGTTGTGTAGAAAGTTTGAGTTGATTCCGATCAAAATTAATTTTTTTACGAATTTTCAAAGTTGCTCCAAAATTGGACAAAAGTCCCTGTACTATAGTACAGGGACTCGGACCAAATTTCGCTGAAATTGAAAAGTAGAGAATTCTCTATTTTTGTAATTCTTCCTGATACATATACTGTACATGTTCTCATGTTACGTAGAAAGTTTAAGCTAATTCCAATTAAAATTGAATTTTTTATGATTAGAATTTTAGTTATAAAATTACTATGACTAACCAACACTGCTTAGTATTTTGCCACCAGACACTTGTAAGTTGAAATAATGTACTGCCACACCTACAGACACGCCCACAATTAAAATAAAAGCAACTAAACGAAGAAAAGCATGAATGAAAGAGCTCCTTTTGCCACACCATGACTTTAGCATTCTGCGACTCCAATCCATTGGAACTAAGAAAAAATAATTTCGGCATAAAAAATATTTTTACGTACCTTTTCGTTTCTGCCAAAAAGGGGTGGAGTCAAGGAAAGCATCGTCAAGCAGTGAGACGCATAGAGCAAGAGTTAATAAATTAAAGAAATTATAATTTCCGGTCAATATAATACAAATTTGAAAAAAAACCTATAAATAGAGACAGAGAATACAAATAGGAAATGAAGGATAATTGTAACAAGGAAGTATGGCAGACTGCATGCCAACAAAAAAGAATAAGCTGTGGTAACTAGTAATAATAATAATAATAATAAAATTAAATGTAATAAATAATAATAAAATGCATGTAGTAATAATAATTATAATAAAAATTATCTCACTTGATTTAAAAATGCAAATAGCCTAATTGAGCGAATGGGAAAGAAAAAAAAGAATGGGACCAATATTTCGATGTAATAAGTTCCAACAACACTCAAACTCTGGAACCAGTCTGGGAGCTGATGAGCAAACCAAGCAAAAGGAGTAGGAATACACTGGGACTCATAATGCCAGCGTAATGCTGTGAGACCCCACCTATGAGAGGAGTTTGGGATAATGGGACAAAATGTATTATCATAATGACTACCATGTTGGACACTGTGATGTCAGTTTGACTACTCCTGAAGCAAACATGAGGCGGAATAATAACCAACGAACCAACCAGAATGAACTACTGTCGTGTGGCCTTGCTATGGGTCTGAAGACAAAAACGAGAGAGAGGGGAGAGAGGGGGGAGAGAGAGAGAGAGAGAGAGAGAGGGGGGAGAGAGAGAAAGGGGGGATAGAGGGAGGAAAAGAGAAGATTAAAGAGACAAAGAGTTGGCACTAATAATGTCTAATAACTGTTGGTATTTTTATAATTCACTTTCTCCAAAATGTCAAATTGAGAGGCGCCACCAGTACAGATATAATGCCAGCTTCTAATAACAATGAATCCCTAGAATACAATAAAGATTAATATATATATACACACACACAATAACCTCATTCATGAATGTATGCACACAGTACCACACACATATACACACATATTCATACTATGTACACAGTGATACTCAATAGCCTATTCACATTCTCAATAACTGGTTCAAATTCACATTAACACTATGTTCCCATTCTTAATAGCTCATTCCCATTCTCAATAGCTCATTCCCATTCTCAATAGCTCATTCCCATTCTCAATAGCTGATTCTCATTCTCAATAACCCATTCCTATTCTCAATAGCTGATTCTCATTCTCAAACTTACCATTGAAAGTACATAAAAGTCTGCCCCACCTACAAAAAATATACTAATAATGAGAAGAGAGTCACAATGAGAATGTACCTCGTGTACAGTGAGATACATTAGCCAGATGAGGAGGAATACAAGGGAACACCTCATGGACTGAAATACAATTACACAAAAACTTAAAATAATCCCAACAATACAGGCCAGCTCCATCGCATACTCGGGAGGGAGGGAGAAATAATTTGAATACAATAAAAGAGACGGGAATGAATAAAACGACTGAGAGTGCTCGTATAATGTCTGGTTCTCTACAAAATAAAATAAAATAATAATAATAAAATTATTTACCAACCTTTAAGTGTCGGGACTACATTATACACTGGGAGGAGACCATTTGGCCCATAAAGACCTAATAATAATAATAATAATAATAATAATAATAATAATAATAAAATAATAGTAACACTGTCTTTCTGCCACTATTTGTTTCACATTATTATAATTATGCCCTCAATTTTTATTATTTTAATTAGCCACACCCACTTACTCAACCTGGTATTTGAATAAAAATTGAAGTGAATGCAAAGAGAAAGATGGCTCCCATCGACCACAGGAACAACTGCCTGGTATCCTGTATTGCTCTAGACCTCATTACGCTCTTCTCTTTGACAGCCAATTACAGATAATACCTCGGATAATATCCTTTTTGTGGAAGATCCTATTGTGTTGAATGCAACACGTGTGGTACCGGAAGTTAACAGTGACGTTGAAATTGTCACTAGCACTATATGCGCATGCCCCGCCTAATAATTAAGCCAATTAATTAATTTTAATAATTTTACAACTTTGCCTGGCTGGATTGGCTGGATTGCTCCAAATAGTAGAACTCTTCTTGAGCTTTTAAAACTTTGCAAAATATCTTATTTTATTTTATTTTATCCTATTTTATTTCATTTTATTTTTATTGTATTTTATTTTTATTTTATTCTATTTTATTTTATTTTATTTATTTTTATTTTATTTTATTTTTATTTTATTTTATTTTATTTTGCAGACTAGTAATTGAAAGTGAAACATAATTTTGATTAAATAAGTGATAAAAAATTGTTCAACAATTTAAAGTCAAGTGGTGATGATGAATTATTAGAGCTAGTAATCATTTTTGATTTCAAGATAAAGGGACATTCTCTGAGAGGAGTCTGAGATCAACATTATCAAGATCAGCTACACCATCATCATTTGCATGGTTGCCGATATCAATTTTACCGTCATTGGCCTTATAAATAGAAAGAGCAAAACCAATAAAAAGTGAACATCAAATTCAAAAACTCACTAAGTGTAACAAAGCTGAGAAGGTGCGGCAAATATCAGATTGACTTCTCTCTTCAATCATCTTCTCAAAAGGAAGAAGAGCAGCTGTTGCTTCTGCTCCATCACAATCTCTTGAATTCTCCTGGAGGGAGGACAGTATCCTGTTGCTATAATAGCGAATATCAAATACTCTGTGCTTTTCCTGAGAGAGAGAGAGAAGAGAGAGAGATTGTAATGATACAAGCTTTACTACATACAATCTCATTTAGGCGAGGTTTAATCTTCTCTTCCCACTCGTTAACTCGTTTAGATAGTTCAGTATCAGAAGCATTACTGGCAACAGCTGATGATAAGTGATTAATATGAGCTCTCAGTAAATCTTCATAACTTTTCATAACCGAAGGAAGGTGAGCGGGGTCTCCTACAGCAGCAGGCTCAGGAATTGAATCATCTAATAAATAATGGAAATTGAAAAATACAAAATAGCACTTAACTTTTAGCTTTAAAAGTATATTAAAATACCTAAATGATCCACCAGTTCATTAATATCATGATCAGGTAATTCTGCAATAGGTTGATCTATAAAATAAAAAAACACGACCCTACTCAAAATCTTCATAATCTTATAGTACCTGCAGTTTCTACTGGTAATGCAGCAAGTACACTAATGTCATCATTATCTCTTTCATCTCCTTCAGAATGATCCTCCTCCTCCTCTTCCTCCCCTTGGCTAGCTAAAGTACCCCTCACCTTATCCTAATACAAATATATAATAGCCATAAATCTCTTTTATAACTTCAAAATTTTTGTTGAAATGAGCTCAAACTTTCTAAATAGCACAAGGACATAAATGGAGCCTTTATCATCAATGAAAAGCAATAATTAAAAATTAAACACACTTCAATTCTCTTCTTAGCAGACTTCCTTCTCTTAGTCTCACTCCAGTATTGCTCCTCAAACTCTAAAATAAGACACAAAATATTAAACAAAAACAGCACAATCGTACATACATACCAGCACTGCTAGGACGCTCTAGTGTATTGGATGGAAACTGAGACGAATTTGAATAAACTAGAGTGAGGAAAAAGGACTTAAAATATTGGTCAAGCTTTTCATTTACTTGACTGAAAGAGAAACTCAGAGAGAGGCTGAGAAGGAGAGAGCAAAGAGTCGCTGTCTTTTCTCTTTCTACTGCCAGCCTTATCTTTAGAGGGTAATACAGTAGAACCTTAAGGAAAGAAGGAGTCAAAAATGAAGCAATCCTCCTATTACCTTTCTTAAAAGGTTTGTCCTTTTTTGATGGTTTGTGAGGGTCTAGCAGTTTCAGTTTCCCAAACTGCTTCCCTTTCCTCTGGGATTTGTCACTGGACTTCCGTCGACGTGAAATTGGAGGAGAAACCTAAAATACATTCATAATCATTCCAGGGTACAAAATAAATTTTCATGGCTTGGTTACATTGTCACATAATCAATGACAAGCAAAAACCCATTAGTTTCATCATCATGAAATCCATGACAACCAAAAACCCATTGGTTCAATCGTCACAAAATTCGTGAAAAGCAAAAACCCATTGGTTCCATTGTCACGAAATCCGTGACAAGCAAAAACCTGTTCATTCTATTGTCACGAAATCTGTGACAAGTGAAAAACCTATTTATTCCAGTGCCACGAAATCTGTGACAAGCAAAAAACCATTTGTTCTATTGTCACTATAAATCCAGGACTTTGGTCCAATTTTTGAGCAACTTAAAAAAATTGTAAAAAATTCAAATTTGATCAAAACCAGTTCAAACTTTCTACACAACATAAGTACATGTAAGCATATTAGAAAAAATTATTAAAATGAAGAATTCTCTACTTTTCATTTTTGGCGAAATTTATCCAAAATCCCTTTACTATAGTACAGGGACTTTGGCCCAATTTTTGAGCAAATTAAAAAATTCTTTAAAAATCAGATTTTCATCGGAATTAACTCAAACTTTCACCCCATAACAGAACATGTATATGCATCAAAAAATCTAGTAAAAATAAAGAATTCTCTTATAGCCATTTTTAATGGTGTTTTAATTATTATAATCACTTATTAAAAAAGCTTTTCCTGCTTACATCTTTATTTATAGTGTCTGTGGGTGGAGCATCCAAGATTGTGTTGTCATGAAAACTTAGATCCATTACAGCATCTACAAAGAAATAGTCACAAATAAAAAAAAACAGGTCAGTGAGCTAACCATCACTGGCCACACCTCCAGGCTCCGCCCAATTATCTAATAAATGCATACTGTCTAATGGTAAGCTGCAATTTCCATGGAAAGTGGTGAACTTGATTGGCTCTAAAAGTAGAGCACCGTTATCACTGATATAACTGGTATTGAGCTATGAAAGAGAGGGAAAAAAATGAGGGAAAAATGACAAAAGAGTCAGACAAAATACTGTATCAAAATAATTAAAGAAATATAATAATAATAAAAATATTTATATAATAATAATAATAATACTTTAAAATCGGTTCTACTCCCAACCAACTCCCCTTTGTTGCTAATAATAAAAAAATTAAAAAAATATATAAAGTCAAAGTTGATTGAAATATCCTCACTTGAATAAAGGAACGTCAAGTAATTTTTCAGAATTATGAAGTGGTAGCAGTGACATTGGAGTACGCTGTATTATAGAAGCATTGATATCAGGCTGAGGAGAGAATTATGTACAAAATAATAATTTATCTTTGGCTGCATTAAGTATTACGTACCACGAATGGTTTCTCTATCATATCAATGTTTCTTGCTTCTAAAATATCATCAAGCAATGGAAACTAATTGAAGTGGGAGAAGATATAGCAATAACAAATAAATAACAAGTTTATTATGAGCCATACAAGGTATTAAAAATATGGTACCTGGTCTTCATTAGATTTGGTTATGTCTTGTTCTCCTTCTTGCTCCTCTACTTCAGTCCTTCTGTAATAAAGGAGCTCTATTCATGTATAGATAAATAATTAATGACATACTTTTTATTGACAATAAGTTCAAGTGTTTGATAAACAAGAGCATGAAGATACTCAACCTTACGGCTGTACACACAAGCTGAGCCTTGAATAACAAGAGCTGCTTCAGCAAAATTCAAATTAGCCTTTCCTCCTTCAAATGCAATAGTGATTTCTTCAAGCTAAGAGAGAAAACATGGAGAAGTGTATGAGAAAATAAAATGGTGGTGGTGATGGACTCCAAGGTGATGGCTCCCCCTCTCTCTCACTTCTAATAAATATTCTTCAAGTTCTGAGGCTACATCAACGTCCCAGTTCTTTGCAAGGTCACGTATCGGCTTCAGGAGATGACCAAAACGAGATATTATGTCTTTCTCAGCCATTTAATACTGAAGGGAGGGGCTTGAAGAGGCGTGGTCACTGCACGTGCTCCCACGTGGGTTTGATCACCAGCACAAAGGCTGTAGTAAAAAAAGGATTTTGCAAGGCCGGGAACAATGCCAGGACATGAATATAGGATAGCTGCTATTGCCCACAACCGCTTTAACCGGCCCACATTGTCTGAGAAATGCCATATTTGCCGCAATCATTGAGTCACTCAAATTAAAAACAGACAAAATGAATGGTCCTTTTTGCTGTAGATCTATATTTGTTGCTCTTCTGCTAGCAGGAATGGGAAATCATGCTGCTGATGCTACCACAGCTCAGTGGACTAAACTGTATGGAACAATGTCTCAAGTTTATGCTAACAGTGTGGTTCTTTGGTCTATTGATGCTCAACTCAAAGCTTACTACTGTCTCCGGCCTTGCACTGGTAATTGGGCCCATGTTGGTAACAGCATGGTTAATATTGAAGTTGATGCATACTATACGTGGAGTATTGGAGCTGATGGATACCTTTATAAAAAAGCAATGCAAAATTCTGGAGGATGGGGCAAACATACAGGTTGGCCTCATGATATGATAGATATTGCTTCTACCAGAGACTCGTATATGTGGTTTTTACATGAAGATAAAAGTGTTTCATGGATAAAGCATTATAACCCAACTGTACACAAGGTTACAGGAAAGTTTGATCAAATTGATGCCAACTCACAGCATGTATATGCTCTCAATAAAACAACCAATACCATTTCTTTTCGTCCGGTACATGGAAGGGGCCAATGGCGCACTATCCCAGGGCAGATGAAGTATGTAACAGCTGGTACTCATGAGATATTTGCTATTGGAGTAGATGATGAGCTGTATCGTTGCACTATACCCTGTGCTGGTATATGGGAACAAATGGGATCCCCAGCATTGCCAGCATCTAATGTGGTTCAGCTTGATGCTACTATTGATGCATTGTTTGCTGTCACTAGTGCAGGAGGAATATACCGTCATGAACTACCACTTTGAGCATAGATACTATGCTTTGAAAAAGTGTAGTAGCTTTACCTAGCTTATAGATAGTTAAAATGTTTTTGATAAAGATTATTTTTTGCTACATGGAATAATTGGGTGTGGTTTTATCCAAGGTGTGGCTAGACCATAATTTTTACAGAGTCTGTCTGTCAACCGTGTCACGAGTAATCGAGCATGGCTGTTCTTTTAGCATTTGCTGCTTTTCTCCTGTTCTCTTCTTCTCCAGCACTCAGCTATTCATGGCCTGATAATGTCACCCAGTACAGTGGGTACATGGATCTTAACGACCAACATGGGGTTGCCTATTTCTACTGGTTCTTTGAAAGTCGTAGCGATCCGTCCAATGATCCTCTTGTCCTTTGGTTGACTGGTGGCCCTGGCTGCTCCAGCCTCCTTGCTCTCTTTGGTGAGAACGGTCCCTTCCTTCTAAACACGACGGATACTCCAGTTTACAATCCCTACTCCTGGAACAGCTTTGCTAATCTCCTCTACGTGGATCAACCCGCCGGTACTGGTTTCTCTTATATCACTGATAAAGCCAAATACGACACCAACGAGGATGAGATTGCTAGGGCACTGTGGGACTTTATCGTAATGTTCTACGAGAAATACCCAAAGTACTCTAAACATGACCTTTACATCATTGGTGAGAGCTATGCTGGTCATTATGTTCCAGCAATTAGTAGGTTAATATCAGAACTTGACAATGTATACGCCACTAATCTTAAGGGGATTGCTATCGGTAATGGATGGGTCGATCCACTCATTCAATATGGGCAATATGCTCCTTATGCTTATGCAAATGGACTCATTAATAAAACCATACTTGATAAAGCTGCTGAAATTTATGATAATGGCTG